TGCAGGCCTGTCTGCAGGGCCAGAGCGGGTCGGATATGGACAAGCGGGTGGTGAGTGGGGGTCCCAGGGAGGAGGGGCCCTGGCTGAGACGCCTCTGTCCAATGGGGGAGTGATGTCGGGGTTGGGGTCTCCCTGCCAGTCTGACCTTCTGGGGGTGAAGACTGCTCTTTCCCAAGGCCCCGGGCACTCCATTCCTGAGGCCCCACGTCTTCCCCATCCCTTCTTGGCCCCACCCCCCTCTGCACCAGTCCCGGAGCCAGGGCCAGACTGCTGGCTGCACCTGAACTTCCTTGTCCAATCAGGCCCTGCAATCTGGGAGGGCTTCCTGGAGGGAGTGGCATTTGAGCTGGGCTTTGAGTGATACTCACAGGAATTCATCAACAGCAGCATTTACGGGCTGTTTACTGTCAGTGTGTTGCTAAGATGTGTCAGTGCCGTGCCTTGCTCAACACTGACAGCGGGAGGTGGGGGCTGCTAATAAGAGCTCTTATGAGGAAACAGACTCACAGAGGTAAAGAGGCTCCCGCAAGGTAGTAAGTGGCCAAACCAAGATTTGAACCCTGACCCGCGTGACCAAGGCTGGTGCTGTCTGTAACTCCAGGTGGGGATGGGTCAGGCGTGTTCTGGAATCCGTCAACAGTCCAGCGCAGCCGGAGCTCTGGGGAAGGGGAGCCGTGGGGGCGTGGAGGGTTCGTGGCAGCCGCCTGTGCCTGGGGCAGGGAGAGCCCCTCGGCGGCCCGGCTCCAGCTCCTCCACTCTCCCTCCCGCTGTGTGACCTTGGCAAACCCGTGACCTCTATTCTCAGTGTTCCGGTCTGGAATAGGATTTGGTCTTTCCTCCACCCCCATCCTGCAGCTTCTGGGAATGGGAAAGGGGACCCCATGGTCCCCAGGAGAGGTCACCCCCACCAGGCCTTGTCATCACCCTGCTTCCACTCGCACCTGTGACGGGGGCCCTCCTGGGGTCCCTCCTCCCACTTCCAAGCCCAGTGCTTCGAGGGGTTCTGCACCCCAGGGACACCCTGAGAGGTGAAGGGAGGCCCGAAGGCAGCACAGGCCTCACGCTCACAGCGCCCTGCCCCTCCCTGCAGAAGAAGCTTCCCCTCATGGCTCTGTCCACCACGATGGCCGAGAGCTTCAAGGAGTTGGACCCCGATTCCAGCATGGGGTGAGCACGGACAGCGGCCTCGGCTCTCGCCTGGAGAGGCCAAGGAGGGATCTGGGCAGGGAGGGCAGCCACAGTGCAAGGATGACAAGGGAGGGGGAGTGTCTGGGCTGAGGACAGAGTCCAGGGCAGTGAGGGCAGCCCGGCCTGGGCGGGTGTTGGGCTGAAGGATGAAGGAGAGAGGGAAGGGGCAGGAGGTGACAGGGAGGAAAAGCCCCACCGAGTCCTTCTAGATTGGGGGGAGGGGCTCCGGGAGCCAGGGCCCACTGGGTGCTGTGCCCACAGGAAGGCCTTGGAGATGAGCTGTGCCATTCAGAACCAGCTGGCTCGCATCCTGGCCGAGTTTGAGATGACCTTGGAGAGGGATGTCCTGCAGCCGCTCAACAGGCTGAGTGAGGTGACCCCTAACCCCTGCCCGCAGCCTCCCCAGCCCCTCCCTCCCACCTCCCCAGCCCACTCATCCTCCCTCCCCACGCCTGCCCCAGGAGGAGCTGCCGGCCATCCTGAAGCACAAGAAAAGCCTGCAGAAGCTGGTGTCCGACTGGAATACCCTCAAGAGCAGGTGGGAGCCACAGCGTCTGGTGGGATCCATGCCTAGGTCGGCCCACAGGGTGGCCATGGGGCTCCGAGGCCCTTCCCATACTAGGAGGACAATGCAGGGCCCCTGGGTACAGGGTGTCCTAGGAACACATATGTGAGGGTGCATGTAAGGGTGTCTCTGTGTATGTGTGTGTGCACGTGCTTATGCCTGCTGCAGTGACCCCAAAGCCCAAGAGAGCCATAAACAATCCTCCAGGACCTTCTACTCTGGAGTTGGATGGTTGTGGCCACCAAGTCTACCACCAGGTGGCGCCCCCGAGCACTCATGGCCCAGGCCCAGTGGAGGTCTGGGATTTGTAGCTATAAATCCCCAAATCCTGTGGTCACGCACATGAAAAGGTCACTTGCTCTGGACATGCAATGGGGACCGTGACCACTCCACCTTTGGGTCACCCCCAGGCTCAGCCAGGCAGCTAAGAACTCGGGCAGCGGCCAGGGCCTGGGTGGCGGCCCAGGCAGTTACAGCCACACCACCACGGCCAACAAGGTGGAGACGCTGAAGGAGGAGGAGGAGGAGCTGAAGAGGAAGGTGGAGCAGTGCAAGGTGAGGGGGCACTTGCGGTTCCCTGTTCTCATTTCATAGGTGAGGAAACAGAGCTGGGGGTCACCCAGGTCTTGGTGTATTTGCTAAATGAGTGAATGAATGAAGGTGAATGAATGAATGAATGGTGCATGACACAAGGGTATGGGGACTCAGAGGGTATGGAAGCTGGAGTTCTAAGCGTTTCCGGGGGGGCTGTCCCCAGTGCAGACTTGGCAGAGAGAGGAGAGCTGGCTGGACCCTCCGCCCACAGCTTGAGCAAGTGACCAAGCCCCTCTGAGCCCCACCTTACCCCAGGCCCAGCCTCACTGACATAAGCCCTCCCCTCTCTGTCTCCAAGGACGAGTATTTGGCCGACCTGTACCACTTTGCCACCAAGGAGGACTCATACGCCAACTACTTCATAAACGTGAGTTCCAGACGGGGCTCCAGAGCTCTGGTGGACACCAGGGCCAGAGGCCTCTGAGGCCCCCCGGGAGCCAGTGGGCGAGAAGGGTTACTCTGGCGGAGGGAGGCTCAGCTTCCCTCACTCTCCCCCGTCCCCACAGCTCATGGAGATTCAGGCCGATTACCACCGCAAGTCTCTGAGCTCGCTGGACGCAGCCCTGGCGGAGCTGAAGGAGAACCACAGCCAAGCAGGTGAGGACACAGACCGGCCCTGACCCCACACTCCCCACCCCCACGTGCTCAGGCCTGTTCAGAAGCTTGCACTCCATCCCTCAAAGGCGATGGGGAGCCATAGATGGTTCTGCGGAGGCGGGGGCGCGATTCGGTTTGTGGTGGAGAGATGGCTGCATGGAGGGTGGAGTGGGGTGGGGCGGTGGTGCAGGACTGGAGCCAGGAGACCTGTTAGGAGGCAGGAGGAAGTGATGGTGCCTGGATGGCATGGAAGCAGTGAACGTGGGCAGATTCGAGAGACGTGTTGGATGGTGTCAGGGTGTGTGAATGGGCGTTGGGTGGGAGGTGGTACCGTTAGCCGGAGCAGCAGTCACTGAGGATGTCTGGGGGTGCTCCTGGCTGCCTGGGGGTGGAAGGACCCTGGGCTGATCCATCTTGTCCCCGCAGACCCCTCCCCTTCGATGACGGCCGCCCCCTCCTCCAGGGTGTACGGGGTGCCCCTGGGAGCTCACCTGCAGGAGCTGGGCCGGGACATCGCCCTGCCCATCGAGGCCTGCGTGCTGATGCTGCTCTCCGAGGGCGTGAAGGAGGAGGTGGGACCCACAGGGGCACTGGGGGCGGGAGCAATGGGGCCCTCAGCCTATCCCGTGCTGTGCCCGTAATCTGCCCTCAGAGCAGGTCCTGGGAGAAGGCATGGCCTCCTGCTGCTGAAGTGACACCTCCCGCTTAGTGATGCTCACGTGGTCCAGGCTGTGAGCCTTTTGCTCTGGGGGCTCATTATCCCAGTATCCCAGTAACCCTCGAAGGGGCTCAGTGGCTGCATTTACAAGGGGAGACGGAGATCACGAGGTGGAGGTGCCCAGTTGCACGTGAGCAGGTGGCAGTGACATCCTCTCCGTCCTCGGCCCTCAAGGTTGCTGGTCCATCAGCTCTTTCCCGAGGGCAGACCCTTAGGAGGCGGAAGTACTCAAAGACAGGCTCCCGCTCATCCTGCGGGCCTCCTCGCTCCCTCCCTCCCCTAACCAGACGCCTGTCTCCCCTCGACCTGCCCCAGCCCCTCCCAGACTCCCCCTTTGCTCAGAATCCAAGACCTGCGTGTTGAGAGGATCCAAGGACCCTGGTGTCCACTCTGCCTGCCAGACCAGGGGCGACCCAGGGCCAGTGCGGGCCAGCCACCTGCCCAACCCATGAGTGACGCAGGGCCTTCCAGCCAGGGTGTCCTGCCCGCCCACCCCTCCATGACCCTACCTGGTCCCTCTCCCACCCAGGGCCTCTTCCGTCTCGCCGCTGGGGCCTCGGTGCTGAAGCGCCTCAAGCAGACGATGGCCTCGGACCCCCTCGGCCTGCAGGAGTTCTGCTCTGACCCCCACGCTGTAGCAGGTGCCTGCCCCCAGGAGCCCTGGGCGGGCCCGTCCCCCACGTCCCTTCACCACCGCTGCCTGACAGGATAGTTTGCTTTAAGGCCTGATAACCTGCCCATAAACATGGCGGTCCTTAAAGCGGGGGTTTGTACGCTTTTCTGAGAACAATTTTCACTGGCCTTTATCATTTTCTCTAAACGGCCCGAGAAATGATAGTCCTGCACATGCTAGTGTGAACAAGGACCAGAGGCTGGGGAGAGAGAGCTGGGTACTGGGGTGAAGGTGGAGGCTTGGGCTGCCTCTGAGCTCACACCACCACGTCAGGTGCCCTCAAGTCCTACCTGCGGGAGCTGCCCGAGCCCCTGATGACCTTTGACCTCTACGACGATTGGATGAAGGCAGCCAGGTGAGGCTGGGGGCTGTGGGGAGAGGGGGCTGTAGAGGTGCCACCCGGGGCTGGCTCACCAGGCCTGTTCCCCTCCGCAGCCTGAAGGAGCCCAGAGCCCGGCTGGAGGCCCTCCAGGAGGTGTGCGGCCGCCTGCCCCCGGAGAACCTCAGCAACCTCAGGTGAGCCCCCGCCGACCCCGGCCGCCTCGAGGCCCGGCCCTGCGGGGACTCCCGGCCTGGGTTCGAGTCCTGCCTCCTTGTTCTAAGCAACATTTCTGAAAGCACAGCTTAGACGTACTAGTCATATTTTTATTCTTTTATCTCTTGTTTTAAATAAGGAACACTTCGCGAATTTGCGTGTCCTCCTTGCACAGGGGCCATGCTAATCTCTGCACGGCTCCGGTGTTAGCATTGTGCTGTGGAAGCAAGCACTGTGCTAGTCATGTTTTTAAAGATATATATATATATATTTAATTGATTTCAGAGAGGAGGAGAGAGGGGAAATATCAATGATGAGAGAGAGTCATTGGTCAGCTGCCTTCTACACGCCCCCTGCTGGGGATTGAGCTCCCAACCCGGGCATGCGCTCTGGCCAGGAATCAAACCGCTGGGGCCTCGGTGCTAAAGTGCCTCAGCAGACGATGGCCTACGACCCCGCAGCCATCCTGATTCCTAGGCTGACACTCAGTCACTGAGCAACACCAGCCGGGCTGACCTAATCATATTTCTGATACTAGATATTGAACTGAACACACACTTTGAACCTTTGAAGCCACACCACCTGGCTTCACATCCCACCTCTGTGACTGTGTGTCCCCGAGCAGGCAAAACCACCTCATAGATTCTCAGCTTAGCTCAGTGCCTGGCACGTAGTGGCACTCAGCAGGTCAGCTAATTTAACCATCAAAATTTTTTATTTTTTATTTTTAAAATATATTTTATTGATTTTTTTACAGAGAGGAAGGGAGAGAGGGATAGAAAGTTAGAAACATCGATGAGAGAGAAATATCGACCAGCTGCCTCTTGCACACCCCCTACTGGGCAACCAAGGTATATATGCCCTTGACCGAAATCGAACCTGGGACCTTTCCGCCCACAGACTGATGCTCTATCCTCTGAGCCAAACCGGTTTTGGCTATCAAAAAAATTCTAAACCAGCCTGTGTGCTGTCCTGGCCACACTTTGGAAACCCCAGGCTGGGGAAGGCTCCGTTTCGGGGGACACTGATGGGAGTTGGTAGCCCAGGCCCCGCCCCGGGCCCACGCCCGTCTCCTGTCTCCCCAGGTACCTGATGAAGTTCCTGGCACGTCTGGCCGAGGACCAGGAGGTGAACAAGATGACACCCAGCAACATCGCCATCGTCCTGGGGCCCAACCTGCTGTGGCCCCCCGAGAAAGAAGGGTGAGGGGCCGTGGCAGGGGAGGGTGGCAGTCGCTGGCCCTGCCTTTCTCCTGGGCCTCAGTGTCCTCCTCCTTGGAATGAGTTGAGGAGCTCCTGTTCTCAGGCTTCATGGAGAGCAGCCCAGAGGGACCCTGGACCCTCAGGGCTTTGGAGATAGCATCCTGGGTGATGGCAGGAATGGGTGCTGGGAAGGCTGGGAGCCCGAGATCCGGTTTTAGCCCCTCCTCTACCCCCCCGAGATGGGCCTTAGTAAGTTCCTCCATTTCCTCATCTGTATGTTGATGAGAAATTACACTAAGTCCGAGGACTTTTGCTGTGGGATTCAGCGAGGTGCCAAGTGGAGGATGCTCTTGTGTGTGAGAGGTCACACTGGTCCCCTGGCCGTTCGTTTGCTGAATGCAGCTCCTGTCGAGGCTGCCTAGATCAGTGGTCTGCAAAACTGTGGCTTGTGAGCCACATGCGGCTCTTTGGCCCCTAGAGTGTGGCTCTTCCACAAAATACCACGTGCGGGCGCGCACGTACAGTGCGATTGAAACTTCGTGGCCCATGCCCAGAAGTCGGTTTTCGGCTCTCAAAAGAAATTTCAATCATTGTACTGTTGATATTTGGCTCTGGTGACGAATGAGTTTGCCGACCACTGGCCTAGATCCAAGAAGTGCGGGAAGCTGCCCTGACCGAGGCGACACCTGTCTTGTGTGAAGGACGGGAAGTTTGGGGTGTGAGCGACGTTTGCAGCGTCTGTGAGCGTCTGAGAACAGGGACTGGATGTGACGGCTTGGTCCTGTGTTCCCAGTGGCCAGCACGGGCCACACAGAGTTGGGGCCACTGAGACTTTGCTAAGTGATGGCTCACTTCACCCCCTTTGTCCCAGGGACCAGGCCCAGCTGGATGCAGCCTCGGTGTCGTCCATCCAGGTGGTGGGCGTGGTGGAAGCTCTGATCCAGAACGCAGACACCCTCTTCCCTGGAGGTGAAGCCCTGCCTCTGTGTGTGAGCCCCTCCATGCCCTCAGCGCCCACCTCGGTGCCCTCCAGACCAGCTCTGGTCCCGGCAGCCCCGTGCACTCCCCACGCGGCCTGTAGGAAGCTGCTTCTCCGCTCTGAGCCTCAGTTTCTCATCTGTAGAATGGGGATGATCCCGGCTGCTTCCTACTGTTGGGGGGCTCCGGTGGGAGGGGGAAGGCGAATCGTGGTCCAGACCATCGCGGGGAAAAGGGAAGGTGGCCCCAGCACTGGCTGCGCGGGGAGGCTGGTGGAGTCCCTGAGAGCTAAGGCCTGCTCTTCTGTCCGCAGACATCAACTTCAACGTGTCCGGCCTGTTCCCGGCCGCCACCCCCCAGGACAAGGTCAGCGATAGGCCGGCCTCTGAGGAGCTTCCAGCCATTGCCGTGCCGGCCCCGGCCCTGGCCCCGGCTCCTACCCCGGCCCCAGCCCCGGCCCCAGCCCCGGCCCCAGTGCCTACCAAGGAAAGGTAAGGACTCTCAGGTATGAACGGCCCCTGTCCCCAGGCGCCACCTCTCATGGCTCCCAGCAGCGTCTTAGGAAATGGCATTGAGTTTTTATCCCAAACGCCAGGTTTCCCGGTTTGGGGTGGGTGGGTGGAAGCTCTGAGATAATACTCCTCTCGGCCTCTGAAACAGTGCCTGGCACAAGTGCGTTGTATGGCTGTTTGCTGAGCACCTACTATGTGCCAGGCACTGTTCCAGGCCACGCGGATGTAGGGAACTAGTGAGCCCGTCACTGTGGGATGTGTCAGCACCTTCCCGTCTTCTCTCTGATCCCTGATCCCTGCCAAGCAGGGATTGTGTGGCTGTCAGACTGCTGAGCCCAAACTGTGAATTTCCTCCCGTGAGCTAGACAGACAAAGCTGCCCTCAGAGCTGTGCTCCGGGTGCGGAGAGAGAATCAGCAAGTTCTCCCGGGAGAGGTCAACAAGGTCAGGCAGGGCTGCGTGCCGCCCCGGAGAGCAGCGCAGGAGAGGGCAGCGAGGGGAGCAGGAGAGGGCACCGAGGGGGAGCAGGAGAGGGCACCGAGGGGGAGAGGAGAGGGCACCGAGGGGGAGAGGAGAGGGCACCGAGGGGGAGAGGAGAGGGCACCGAGGGGGAGAGGAGAGGGCACCGAGGGGGAGAGGAGAGGCCCGAGGGCACCGAGAGAGGGCACCGAGGAGGAGAGGAGAGGGCACCGAGGGGGACGAGGGGAGAGGAGGGCACCGAGGGGGAGAGGAGAGGGCACCGAGGGGAGCAGGAGAGGGCACTGAGGGGGAGCTGCCGCAGCCCCAGGGTCAGGAAGGGCCTGAGGAGGAGCCGGCTGAGCAGAGACCTGGAGGCAGGCAGGAGACCGCCCCTCTGTTCTTGTCCATGCTCTGGCTCCCAGGAACCAGAACATTCTAAAGATGAAAAAGAGGCCCAGCTGGCATGGCTCAGCCACTGAGCCAAACTATGAACCAGGAGGTCACGGTGTGATTCCCCATCAAGGCGCACACCCAGGTGGCAGGCTCAATCCCCAGAGTGGGGTGTGCAGGAGGCAGCCGGTCAATGATTCTCTCTCATCATGGATGTTTGTATCTCTCCCCCTTCCTTCCTCTTTGAAATCAACAAAAATATATTTAAAAATATATCATGCCGAAACCAGTTTGGCTCAGTGGATAGCGTGTCAGCCTGTGGACTGAAAGGTCCCGGGTTCGATTCTGGTCAGGGGCATGTGCCTTGGTTGCGGGCACATCCCCAGTGGGGGGCTGCAGGAGGCAGCTGATCGATGACTCTCCCTCATCGATGTTTCTAACTCTCCCTTCCTCTCTGTAAAAAATCAATAAAATATATTGAAAATAAATATATATATATATATATATATATATATATATATATATATATATATATATCTCACAAGGAGGCTGAGAGCCGAAGCCAAGGGGAGGCCCTGCTTTCTCCCCATATCCTGGCCCCATAGGGGACCACGGACACTGCAGTCACCCAGCAGCCAGGGACTCTGGATGCAAACCCTGACCGACGCCAGCAGCGTCTTGGGGGCAGGGGCAGCCTGGGGACGGGTCCCGGCCCCGCCACCGGTGGAGGGCCCAAACCCGGCCTATTGGCTGGGAGTCCCAGAGACATCTGGGAAATGGCCCAGCCTGAGCCTGACCTTCCTCTCCCTCGCAGGACGGAGTCTGAGGCTCCCCCCAGACCGGCCTCCCCCAAGGTCAGCAGGAGCCCCCCAGAGGCAGCAGCCCCCTCGGAGGACACGGCGCGGAGGAGTGAGTTGGCTGCGGGAGGAGGAGGGGTCAGAGGGGGTCAGGGGTGGGCAGTCCAGACCGCCCCATGGTCTCAGGCATCCAGGGGAGGCCGGGAGGCCAGGTGGCTCCGAGCCAGTCTGTTGCCTCACACTCCGGGTTCAGAGTCCAGCTGGTGACCTTGGGCAGGTGACTCCAGCACCCTGCGCCTCAGTGGATAGTAACGGCCCCTACCTGGTAGGGCTGTTGGGAGGATGCAGTAAATGCTCCAGAAAAGTCAGTCACTGTGAGCATGGCGGGCAGAGGGGCCCAAAGTCACAGAGTGAAGATGGAGGACAGTCTTCAGCACAGGGGGAGGGGTGCTGGTGGGGGAGAGACCTGGGCCTCCTCCTGGGCCCTCTGGGACATGCTCCTGTTGAGCTGGCCGAAAGCCAGGCCGGTGAGGTTCAGGAGCAGAGTCTTGTGAGCCCTGGCCAGCCCAGGAGCTTCTAGAGTTTTCCACGGGGTACAGTGTAGAGCCGGGAGCAGGTGGAGCAGCTGCAGAGCCTCCAGACCAGCAGGAGCGGCGGGTCCCACAGGAGCCTCCCTGCGGAAGGCCGGCACGTAGCCCCCCTTCCCGGATGCGGGGCAGTGAGACACGGGCTCCCGGAGCACACGCTGCAGGACGGTCAGCATCACTGAGCTGGTCCTCACGGCAGCCCCGGGAGGCTGAGGACTCACCCATCTTCCGGATGAGAAAACCGAGGCCCCGGGGGGCAGGTGCTGTGTGGGCGGAGGCAGAGCTAGGACCGGAGTCCAGACCTGGCC